AAGTTTGAGTAAATGTTTTGTCCCTTTACTATTTTTACTGGATTAACTTAGTTTTAGCTTGACTGTCAATTATCTAGGGAGACTGGATTCTGTTAATGTTTAAGGAATATAGAGACAGTATAAGAAATATATTTTAATAAAAAACTTTCCACATATGAATTCAGCTTCCATAGATACTTGAGCTTACTACAGCCTCTTCAGCCAATCACTGCTCAGTCCAAGCAATCCAATATCTTAAAGCAGATATTGCCATCAAAACAATGTTTATTCTCTCCGTTGCAGATCATCCAATAACTGTGTTTACTGTCCCAGTCCAGATACCAGTATTTCTTTCAAATAATAAACAGTGTTTTGGCTTTCCTTCATTAAAAACAAACAAGAAAAAAAACACCCAGAAAGACTTCTGACATTGATATTGGTTCTCTCCACCCACCAATACATATATAACCCAGTTAATTCTGGTTTGCAAAAGACTTCTCCTGAGAAGATGCTGCAGAAATGCTATTTCATCAGGGTTCTCTAACAGAAAAAAGTGCCCACATACAGACAAAAAACATTGTAAAGCTTCCCTGAAATGAAATATTAAAAATTGGTTCTCAAAAATAGCTAGGGTGTTGGCAACATATTGCAAGAGAATATTGTCAGCATTGTGAAATGTTCAGGGATAAGTATAATTAAATTACCATGAAGTAGAGTTCAACATATATAGTATTTATAATATACTGTATATAGTATTTCGTAATGTGAATGTGGGAGATACTAAATAGAATGTTGGGTATTTGTTAACAATACAGATATATGAAAATGTGCAATGGCATGAACCAAGGAGATTTTTCAGGACCTCCAAAAACAATTGTTGATGCTCATTAGGATTGAAAATATCACAAACTATTTCCAAAGAGTTTGGATACTAGCAGTTCTCTGTCGGGCACATAAAGAAGGCAATTCAATACCATTGTTACCTTCACAGGAGTGGTCAGCCAATCATGATCACACCCAAAGCAAGGTGTTTTAATATTTCAGGTGTCTTAAAGAATCCCAAGGTAATGTCTAAGGAAATAAAGGCATATCTTGGGTTGGAAAAGGCCTATATTCATGAGACCACAATCAGCAGAACATTGAACAATTGTGTCCATGGCAGAGTTGCAAGGAGAAAGATAGTATTCTTCAAAAAGAATGTCACTGCTAATCTATAGTGAGCAAAAAGCTCATGTGGATAAGCCAGAGAACAATTGGAAGAATGTTTGGTGGAGAGATGAGATCAATAGTACTTTTTATCTTGTATGAAAAGCATTAAGTTTGGCAAAAAGACAATACTACATTCCAGCTTAAAAACTTTATCCCATTTGCAAAGCATAGTGGTAAAAGTATCATGTTTTGGGTCTGTTCTGCCTGTCCTGTACAAATACTGTACAAAGGCAGATAGATAAATGCCACAAAGCATCCATACAACATCTTTTATTGCTAATTCTGTGTATCCTGTTTAGATAAAACACATAAATTTCTACATGTATGTATTTATGTTAAAATAAAATCATTATAGAATAGTAATTAGAATGAACAGTCCTTGGAAATTTAATTGGCATTGTAGTGTAAGTTCTTGCCTAAAAACTTAGTCTTTACTTTGCTTCCTGGTTAATTCACTCTATATATATTAATTATCTCTATATTTTTCTAAGAACCACAAAAGAATGACATTAATAAGAATAAAGGGTTTTGGAATGCCTCCCAGTCAAGAACATTGTGCATCTGTTGGGTTCCTAGAAGACCGGATAAGAAATAATGAGTTATTTTTTAAAGTTAGGCTGAAAGGCAACATCCAGTCCTCATCTGATTTAAATGTTTTTATTTGCAGAAAAAATTATGCCTAAATTTGGCAACCAAATTCCTATCCATTAAGACTTGCTCAATCCAGCATTATCTTCGGTTTGAAGGGACCTCTAGTGGTCTTTTAAAGACATCTACAAATCATTGTGGAAATGTTAACTCCTACAAAAATGCTTTGTGCTATACAATACTACTGTAGATAAGTTTTTTCAATATCTGTCATAGTTCTCCAAGTCATACTTTAGGGTTTAAGGGGTCTTAGGGGACCCCCGGGTGTCCCAAGATCACACTTTTAAGAAAAATGTGTCTGGAAAATCTGGGTATGCATCTTTAACACACAATTCCTGTTCATTTGCGATTGACTTTCACTGCTACAGAAAAGCTGGTTCCATTACTTGAAATGAGTACCAGAAGACAAGATAATTCAACAGGCCAGATCAAAAGAGAAAAAGCAAATAAAATTTCTCTTCTCCACCCACGTGTTCATGAAATGTCTGAAAAATGCTAGGTCGACACAGGTCGACACAGTAGTACAAACGCAGAAAGTTGTTTCTTCTTATGAAGCCTTAAATTGACGTCAAGACCAATCCATCCCTTGAGTGGTGCCGATGTGTTGAGCAATAGGCTCTGTAGTCCCGCAGATCTGGGGAAGGCTAACTCAGACATAGTTGTCTGGCAGGAACTTTCATTTCCCTGGTCCTGGTTAAGAAGAAAGAAACGCCTGCTTCAAAATTCAAGAACGCCATGATTTGATGGGGCTTCGTCTGTTACTTCGTTTAGCAAAGCAGGCACGGAATCGGCCATTTGGCGCCCTCTGAAGAACAAGCCGCCTTCTCATGAATTATTTGTTATTATTCAAAAGCACCACAAGCAAATCAGGGCGACCCTGCTTATTATTTATGAGCGGGGCGGGGCCAAACAGGAGGGCGGGAGTTTTCCGAACGACCGTGCAATTGTACGAGGCCCAAAGAAGGCGGGGCCGAGTTGGCGGGGCGGGGGGGGGGAGCGGGAAATTTACAACACGCGAGAATTGATAGCACGTTTTACTATTTCGGATGAGTTATTGTTAAGAGAAATAGCATTCCTGTGGTAAATAAATGTCCGCAGTTGCGTGAATATTGAGACCCAGGATTTTCAGTATGAGGCCATTCTTTTTAATAAAAACTTTGTATTTAGACACGTAACATTCTGGAAGCCTTTGAAGATGAAAAGTGAGATGCAAATGATTTCGAAGAAGAAATTATTCTGAGCATCTCTTGAGTAGAAACAAAATGAACTTTCTACAAGAAAAGAGGATACTTAACATGTATGGGAAAACAGTCTGAGTTTCTCGATATTTTATTATACGTTAGAGGAAGTAAATGATCCAATGTATTGCAAATAATCACAAAATATATTGATGAGGTTTTTTTAATGAAAATATTGCTGAAAGTTTTATTTCTTATAATGCTCATAACAGTTCATTAATTCTGAATTAAAGTTTTTGTGCTTGGGGATTCTGACTTACATGCTATGAAACAGCAAGCTTCACACTTTATTTTGATTTATCCTATTAAATTAGGTTCATATTCCTAAAGTTAGAGGATCATACTTTTATAATTCTGGTTAGAAAACCCAGATTATTTAAAATATTGTAGAGGAATTTTGATGTAAATTAGTCCAATATATATTATTAAAATTTTAAATTAAAATAGTCCAATATGTTCCCCTCCCCCATTTTGGTAACTATACATTTTTGCCTCATACAAATTAATGATCCACATTCCACCCTGAGGAAGGGCTGTCAAAGTAAGATTCAAATAACTATAACAATGCTAAAATACTTATGTATATAATATACATTCCATTATGATGTTGATATTTTATCTCTCATTTTACCTACTAAATTTACTTGGTAGGGCTGAACAATAACCTACGGTTTGTGAACAATGCTAAATTCAGTCTCTCAAAAATTGGAAAGCTCACTTCAGAGAACCAAAAACCAATTATTGAGATGATGCTGTAACAGGAACTGCAGTATATAATACTATGTTCGTGTGCGTGTGTGTGTGTGTATATATATATATATATATATATGTGTGTGTGTGTGTGTGTGTGTATGTGTGTGTATGTGTGTGTGTATGTGTGTGTTTTCTTAAGTTTTCGCGGGTACTTACATGTATTCAGCTTTGCTCGGGTATTTTCCTATGTCATTGTAGTTGTGCTTTTAAAGTTGTAGCAACGTTTCGGCAGAAT